TAGTTTGAATTACTTCGCAAAACAGGGATTCACAAGCTAACTTTTTCATTTTTGTTTCACCACTGATCTTTATCAGAAAATTCTTGGAAGGTCCGAACTTCATGCGTTGGTTCCGACAAAGACGTTCTGCTGCAGAGCAAGATCAGCTAAGGTTATGGAGACAAGCTCGCATGAATGTTGATATCGAGAAGTTAATGTCAAAGATGTCTGAGTTGGAGAGGATTGATTCTTTTAATGTTATTGAACGGTATCTTCTCAAAGAGATGGAGGTAATATTTGTTCTGATGCTTTCTTAAGTTAACTGTCACTTGCAAAAACAAATAAATCCTAATAGTTATGGAGATTTAAGTAAGAAATCCTTAATAGTAGTCGTTTTCTGTTAGGACAAACTACAAAGATAAGCTCACGAACAACTCACATTATTATTGATAATTCAGTATATGTGGCTATGTGCATAACTAAGACAGATCGATCTGAATCATAAGCTTTTTCTTTTGACAAGGACTGCCTACACCTGCTATAGGCTTTAGGCCAGCACGAACCAAGCAGGATGAATGCCTCAGTTCGACGGGCACATAAAGGAAGTTAAGGGAAATAGGATAGCCATTTTGGAGATGACACTTTAGGAAGTTATGATAAGATCTTTAAAGTACTTCTAAGTTGCAAGAAGACTTCTATCCGTGTAGGACACTAGCAGCCTGCCAGGTCACCACGATGGAGATCGAAAAGAGAGTTGGAGTTTGTTTAGTTGAGGAAGATTTTGAGTTGGTTATCAATGCATGGGTCTCCAATTAAGCTAATTCCAGTTGGTTTAGTCATGGAGTCTAGTACTGGTCAAGGCTGTGCTATACAAGCAAGCTGATGTATCTTTTGATCGATCAAAACAAAGAATCAATAGTGTAAGTCTAAATAGCCTCAGAGCCTCACTGCCACGGTAGGGATTAGGCCCTGCGGTGATTAAATTAGGGTGAGTGCCCACTGTTTTTTAGTCGCGCGATTAGTCGCGACTAGTCTGCCAGGGTTGACTCAAACCCTCGGCTAGTCACGAGTCACTACCCCAGAACGACTCATCGACTCGAAAAACCTTGCCTCGATCTTTGTCCTTCGGACCCTTGTCCTACCAAAATCCATATCAAAATTAGAATTACGCTTGAGGTCCTATTGGTGAGATAGGATGCAACCTAACATGTATGAACCTAACATATCTGTTATGCCTTGTGCTTATGTCTACTTCCTTGGTTTGACTGAATTATCCTTTCCTCTTATGACACATTGAACTTTAGGAACTAAACTTTGTAAGTTCGGTAATGATATGTTTATAATGATTATTTGAGTGATTCCATAGTTTACTTTTCTATAGCATAGGGCTAAATGCCGTAATACTCAGCAGCTCTCCTAAAAAAATGATTCAGATCACTGAGACTTGCCACATATACTAAAAGGAACACGACTGGTTTTCTTGCATTTAATCAGATGCACCTTAATACTTCATGCAATACATGCAATTTCCTGTAATAAAATCCAATGAGGCTCCTACTTTGTAGTGCACACCAATATGTACTCTATTATGAGTTTGCCATTTAATTAGCTTACAGGAATGCTGCACCAGAAAACATTAATCAGTCTATGGTGAACTACAGATTAACTAGGATTTGATCATTTTGAGTATGAACTATTCTGGCATATGAATTCGGGTTTAGTTGAACCAACCACATGTTTTGTGTGACTGGTTTTCTTGATGTTTTCTTGCAAGAAATCAAACCGACTGGCGATGGAATAGAGTTAAATGTTAAAGTCATGAGGTTTAGCGTAACATGACTGCACTGGGATTTTGTTCTGTCTTTTCCTGCGAATAACCGCCTTCGGTAGTCGGTAGTGACGGCATTGGATTTTGATGTGATAAACAATAAAGCATTACAAGTGTATAACTTTTTTGCTGAATAGTGGCGTGACACTAATAATATCCTTCGGTAATTAGGGCTGTTTGATTCCAGTCTACCATTCTCTCTCCTGTATATGATAGACTGGAGGGATGCATGCGCGTGAACGGTTGAAGATTTACACCTTATATTATTAGTTTTGACAGCCTAACCTCAAGAATTTTGATTTACTGTAACAGCCCCCATGATATAGTTCATTACAACAAGAGGGGCCTTGTCATTGTTTAGTGATATATATTTAAAAGTTGCATGTTAAAATGTTTCATCATATAGGGATCCATAGGAATATCTTGGACAGTAGCTTGTTCAACATACCTATTCTGCCCTCAATGTTTTGTTGAAAACATCCTGATGTTTATTTTCCAATTTCTGCTGTCAGAATTCTCGGACAGGTACTGCTGAATCATTGGCAGCATGCCAGAAACTGAAGGCAGACCTTCAAGCAGCATTCAGTGTCCTCCCAAAGGACATGCAGCAGCTGCTGCTTTCCAACCCTAAACGAGCCGTGCTTCTTCAAGCCAGCCAAGAAAAGGTCTCAGGACTTGGGGACGTTGTCTCCCAGACAAGTTTGTAGCAGTTCTCTTTTTCTGTGTAATATTAATATTACAATTCTTTTATCCACAGAGTAAAAAATTCACACGATTTTTTATACATGGGTGCTGGCCTGCTGGGTTTGACTCACTTTTATCCACAAAGTCTAAAATTTACACGTCTTTTTCATATATACATGGTTGCCGGATTTGACTCAAAATGTTCATATTTACCTTTGTGTCTCACTTTGTATGATTTCACTAAAAAAGGTTTCATTGAAGAAATAGTAACATAACTAAATGATTTATTGTCTTGGTTCCTTTTTCATCTGCGGAAACTATACAGCTTAAGAAATCATATTTTACATTTCGTAACTGCCCTCAGCATCCTCCATTAAAAATAAACAGGCATGGTTATTCAGAATTTCAGATTGAGGATCTTAAGGAGAGATGTTAATGGTTGGTCTTATAGCTGGATGCCCATCAAATTATTGGTAACTTGCTATTTTGCCCTTCCAATATAGTGATGAACCCATACATCCTCAGCTGTGGGATCAATTGCTGAGTGGCAAAAAAGATTTCCCTTTCATCCTTTAGCGAACTTTTTTTCTGGCTCATTCATGTTGATGTATGAATGCTGACATGGTATTCTCAGCTAGAAAGCAATGATGCTAAGCTGCAGGTCCATCAGGATTAAGGGCATGTTTATTCGCAGACCACACGTTGCCAATGCCAGACCTTATTGGCAGCATGCTTTCTTCAATGGAAATGGATAAATTTTGAGAGCTGGTGTTACCGATCCTATTTTTGTTGCATATTGTACAAGTTTGTTGGAGCATTAGAAGTTCAGAACCAACTAAAAAAGACTGATGAAGATTTTCTACGAAGCCTGTATCTGAATGTAGGTTTACCTTCTATTCGTTGTTGACGATGCTACTTATGTTACAGTTGTGTGCATTAGTGTTTTACTGTAAGTGGTGAACTGTCAGTTTGGACGGTTAGTTTCTCCGACCCTTTTATGGCCTGGTGTATTTGCGCCTGTTTCTACATTCGCCCAACAAGTCTTTTCAGAAGACTCGTGACACATGAGAAGTAAAAAGAAACTCAGGAGTGATGTTTTCACATGCAACAGCGAGACTCTTGTAGGGTTGGAGATGCAGAGCCCAGAATCTAACATGGTTTATGCGTTAAATTTATAGATCAAAGAATCACAACTAAATCAATATTACTCCCTCCGTTCTGAAATATTTGTCTTTCTAGAGCTTTTAACAAGTGACTATATACAAAACAAAATGGGTGAATCTACACTCTAAAATATGTCTACGTACCTCCATATATTGTAGTCCATTTGAAACGTCTAGAAAGACAAATATTTAGGGACGGAGGGAGTACTTCCTAAAGAAACATTGTGATTTGATTTAAGGTATGGCACATCCATGCAGCCCAAGCCATACACCAAACAAATCACAACAAAGAAAATTAGTACAAAGTTGAGTCGTCTATTTTAAAACGGAAGGAATATAACGAAGCACATAGTGTTGTTCATTCCAGCCAGAACAGTCCAGCAGTCTCCAGCTGCCATACATGGATGATGCTATAAATCCTCAACATACATCAAAGGCCCCTCGATTAGTTCAGTAAACCTACCATATTACTCCCTCCGTTCCAAAATTGTCTTGTTGTATTTCAAATTTGAACTAAAACTATGACAAATATTTTGAAACAGAGGGAGTAGTTTGCATTCTTATATGGCTCAAAGATGCACAACCACACCGTTTTTAAGCTAGCGCTAACCACTACTCCCTCCGTTCCTAAATATTTGTCTTTCTAGAGATTTGAACAAGTGACTACATACGGAGCAAAATGAGTGAATCTATACTCTAAAATATGTCTACATACATCCGTATGTGGTAGACCATTTGAAACCACTAAAAAGACAAATATTTAGGAACGAAGGAAGTACAAACCAAACGTTGCACGCAGACACAAATCAATCAACGCTTTATCTATGCTGCAGAAATTCATTTGGAACAAGCAGAGAAAAAAAATAGCCAATGAATAACTAACCAGGCTAGAAGTGTATACATCCAACATTCCTACTTCGTAAAAAATACTCCCTCTGTCCGGAAATACTTGTCATCAAAATGGATAAACGGGGATGTATCTAGACGTATTTTAATTTTAAATACATCTCTTTTCATCCATTTTGATGACAAGTATTTCCGGACGGAGGAAGTATATCATTACCCGATCAATGACTGACATAGCAAGCAGCACAAAGGGCACGAACGACAAGACCAGCAGTTGATTCAAGATCGAAAACAACAAGAACAGCACATAGATAAATTAGATAAATGCTCCCTCCAACCAAAAGCGCTAAGCTGTCATACTACAATCATATCTTGAGCATGCACCGGAACCCTAGACCAAGTTTTCAAAAGAGACAGCGCTCAACATCCAGCAGGAACATTACATCAAGATACTTAAAACTCTGACAGTTCTGGCAAGCTTAAACAAGCAGTCAGCCGATTCATGGCACTTCAGCAGTACCTACACTTCTTCTTTGACCGCAGCTGAAAAGAATTGGTTGGAGAAGCAACACATTAGATCAAAGGTGGTATGGAAAACAGCTAAAAAAAGGTGGCATGGAATAAGAACAATGTAGGAACAAAGCTTAACCTATTTCTATCAGTAGTACTAGTAATATCTCCCAAGTGAACATGAGAAGATGTATAGCACACAGCAGTACGACACACACAACAAACTAAATCAGGGATAACATAAAACCATATATACTCCCTCCGTTCGGAATTACTTGTCTCGAAAATGGATGTATCTAAAACTATATTTTAGTTTTAGATACATCCATTTTCGAGACAAGTAATTCCGAACGGAGGGAGTAGTAGATTTGAGAAACCAATTAAGATCTAATGCTAGCTCATCATGGTCACATTTGGCCATCTTTCTTCGAGAACATAATCATGTTGGGTTATCATCACTAAGGAGAACACATGAATGATGCTACCCTAGATATGGAGTAAGTTTGATTATTCGATCATAAGAGAAAGTCACACCTGGTTGCTGTGGCCACACTTCTTCTTGCGGCAACTCTTGGCCTTGGGAGGCAGGCGTGAATAGCACCTGCAACACAAAATGGTGAAAAAGGTTACCTACATCACAAGCACAATATATCTTCTAAGCGAAGGTATGAGACAGAACATGCATGATCAACTAAGCACTTCAGGTACCAGATAGCAGTAATAGTAAACAGTTACTACATGACACATCGTCCACAAAGAATCAGCACACTTATTGCAGGAAACAGTTATCCAAATCAGCAGTTTATACTTTTAACTGTGAGGTTTTTCATGTATTGTGACTGGCCTAATTAACTGTCATTCCTGCAAGCGCAAGGCAATCAACCATCAAACCACTGAACCAGCTTGAGAAGATGAAGAGACAACAAGCAAATGGAACACAAGTACATGGACAATTAACAGTGCAGAAATCATGTGCCACCAGTGGGAACTGATGAACCAAGAAACATGGCAGATGACACTAAAGATGCTTCTTTTTTGTATCAACTATCACATTTCAGCATCTGGATTGAAGGGACTGAACAAAATGACACATCATAGTAGTCATCACATAAATAAGTATTGCATCCCACTGGTTCTATCAATAACATTCCTTGGCTACTGACTATACTGTAAATAATTCAGATATACTGCATTACAGACATGCAAACCATGCCCTTCTATGACTAGTGGCTACACCAGCAAAGCAGCAATTTTTATCAAACGGGAGACTGCCGCACATCCAGCATGCATGCAAATCATAACCTTGTTCCATTACTAAACACACAAAGCAGCAATATTTATCGGACAAGAGACTGTCGCACATGCAGGTGTATATACCAACAAAAGCTAGGTAATTTGTTTGAGAAACAGGTGCAGGGGTTTATGCATTACTTGCGGCAGATGAGCTTGCCCTGGTTGTACTTCTGAGCGAGGGCCTTGAGGTTGGGCTCGATCATGCAGCCGCCCCCGCGGAGGCGAAGCACGAGGTGGATCGTGGACTCCTTCTGAATGTTGTAGTCGGCCAGGGTGCGGCCGTCGTCCAGCTGCTTCCCCGCGAAGATGAGGCGCTGCTGGTCCGGAGGGATGCCTGCGATCGATCCAAAACACGCCACAGAGCGGATCAACCAAAGCCAAAATCCAAAAAACGTTGGATTCAGCCTCGATGCTGGAGGAAAGGGAGGGCGACGGGGCGGGAAGAACGGCCCGTACCTTCCTTGTCCTGGATCTTGGCCTTGACGGCGTCGATGGTGTCGCTGCTCTCGACCTCGAGGGTGATGGTCTTCCCCGTCAGCGTCTTCACGAAGATCTGCATCTCGTCGGTCCTCCTCTCCCGCCGCTTCGCCTGTTCCTGCTTCCTCCTTCGCGAGCTCTACGGAACTGAAGGGGGGAGGGAGACAGTGGTGGGTGGTCTGCACTCTGAACTCTGGAGGCGGCGGTGGGGAGGGGAGGGTGGGGTCGTCCTTATATAGCCGGCGGCCACGCCCACCCGCTGCGTTAGCTAGCGAAACCCTACCTGCCGGAGTTGCAGTCCGGCGCTCTAATGGTGGCGCGCCAATCGCAAATTTCGTACTGCGTGTGAGACCTTTACTAGTGCTAATTGCTCCGTTTACCGAGACGGTAATCGCTTGCCGTCACTACTCACTAGACGGCGACGTCTGCCTCGGCCCATATCGATGGCCCAGCCCATACAGCTGTGCTGCGGCCAACTGGCAGTACGTCACGTTTCGTCTCTTTGACCAAGGTTGAGGAGGAGCGGGGAGGCTTCTAGAGACAAACCAATCGAATGGGTAGGGTGGAGCTGCTGGTAGATCAACGGTGCTTGATGCGTGGAAAGTAAAAAAAAAAAGAAGCCTCTAGCGTGTTCTAGAGCTTAATCAAATCAAATGTCGCTTTTCTATGGTTTTCAGGGCATTTGTAGCACATCCCAATTTGAAGGCGAAATTTCATTTTGAGGGATTAGGCTTCTTCTAGCAGACCCTCTAGATCGTATTTTCCCTAACAATTTAACTTTTCCCACGGAACATAGCCTCACCTCCTCACTTTTTCTCCAACTAGAGAAAGTCTCGCGACAACCGAGCAGCCCCTCGTCTCATACAGTAATGGTCGAAAGGTCGGCGTCCAATCCGACCACTACTAGCTATAAACTTCGGTGTCGCACCTTTAAACCCTAGCCCACACCTCCCCCAACCTATTTTCGCCACTATCGCAACTGATTAAGGCGTCGACCGACATCGATTTGTGTCACCGACGCCGCTAAGTCGAATTCATCGCAGCCCTGGAGCCCAGTCGCATCCTGAGCTCCCACGACGCCTCCCTGAGCCACCTCAACTAGATTCATTCGCCATTTATGTCGTCTTTCCCGGGCTTCAGATTAACAGAGAGATGCGGCGGGGAAAAAGGTTTGGAGGTGAGACGTTCGTCGCCAAGGAGCTGACATACCATGAGCATCGTCGGGCACACATCGCAGGGGGTGAGCCTCCGAGCTCTGTGGACCTAAGCTCGGAGGAGGCGGAAGAGATGGTGACAGAGGATATGTCTCCAACGTATCTATAATTTTTAATTGTTCCATGCTATTATATTGTCCATCTTGGATGTTTTATATGCATTCGTATGCTATTTTATATGATTTTTGGGACTAACCTATTAACCTAGAGCCCAGTGCCAGTTTCTATTTTTTCCCTTGTTTTTGAGTTTTACAGAAAGGAATATCAAACGGAGTCCAATTCAACCTGAAAATTTACGGAGATTATTTTTGGACCAGAAGAAGCCCACGGAGCATCGGATATGGACCAAAAGAGTCCCGAGGCCACCACGAGGGTGGAGGGCGCGCCCTACCCCCCTGGGCGCACCCCTACCTCGTGGCTACCTCGTGGACCCCCCTGACTTGTTCCCGATGCCAACACCTCTTATATATCTTCAAACTTCCAGAACAGAACCTAGATCGGGAGTTCCGCCGCCGCAAGCCTCTGTAGCCACAAAAAATCAACCGGGACCCTGTTCCGGCACCCTGCCGGAGGGGGGATCCATCACCGGTGGCCATCTTCATCATCCCGGCGCTCCCCATGACGGGGAGGGAGTAGTTCACCCTCGGGGTTGAGGGTATGTACAAGTAGCTATGTGTTTGATCTCTCTCTCTCTCTCGTGTTCTTGATATGGCACGATTTTGATGTACCGCGAGCTTTGCTATTATAGTTGGATCTTATGATGTTTCTCCCCCTCTACCTTCTTGTAATGGATCGAGTTTTCCCTTTGAAGTTACCTTATCGGATTGAGTCTTTAAGGATTTGGGAACACTTGATGCATGTCTTGCATGTGCGTATGTGTGGTGACAATGAGATATTCACGTGATCCACTTGATGTATGTTTTGGTGATCAACTTGCGGGTTGTATGACCTTGTGAACTTATGCACAGGGGTTGGCACACGTTTTCATCTTGACTCTATGGTAGAAACTTTGGGGCACTCTTTGAAGTTCTTTGTGTTGGTTTGAACAGATGAATATGAGATTGTGTGATGCATATCGTATAATCAAACCCGCGGATACTTGTGGTGACATTGCAGTATCTATGTGACATTAGGTTTTTGGTTGATGTGTGTCTTAAGGTGTTATTTTACTACGAACTCTAGGGCTATTTGTGACACTGAATAGCCCAATGGATTGATCGGAAAGAATAACTTTGAGGTGATTTCGTACCCTACAATAATCTCTTCATTTGTTCTCCGCTATTAGTGACTTTGGAGTGACTCTTTGTTGCACGTTGAGGGATTGTTATATGATCCAATTATGTTATTATTGTTGAGAGAACTTGCACTAGTGAAAGTATGAATGCTAGGCCCTATTTCGAAGCATTGCAATACCGTTTTCGCTCACTTTTGTTACTAGTTACCTTGTTGTTTTTATATTTTCATATTATAAAAACCTATATCTACCATTCATATTGCACTTGTATCACCATCTCTTTGCCAAACTAGTGCACCTATACAATTTACCATTGTATTGGGTGTGTTGGGGACACGAGCGACTCTTTGTTATTTGGTTGCGGGGTTGTTTGAGAGAGACCATCTTCATCCTACGCCTCCCACAGATTGATAAACCTTAGGTCACCCACTTGAGAGAAATTTGCTACTGTCCTACAAAAATCTGCGCTTGGAGGCCCAACACGAGTCTACAAGAAGAAGGTTGCGTAGTAGACATCAAGCACTTTTCTGGCGCCGTTGCCGGGGAGGGTAGTGCTTGAAGGTATATCTTTAGATCTTGAAATCAAATCTTTTAGTTTCTTGTTTTATCACTAGTTTAGTCTATAAAAGAAACTACAAAAAATGGAATTGAGGTTACCTCATATGCTTAATTGTGCTCAAGTGTTAGAAGAAGAATGCATTAAAATGTTTGGCACTAAATATTTGAATGATGAGCATGATTGCAATGTTGTTAGTTTGAATTCTTTGAATATCCATGATGCTAATGATATGCAAATCTACAAGCTTGGGGATGCTATGTTTGATGAAGATGATTTTTTCAGCCCCCCAAGTATTGATGAGAATATTTATTATGATGAAAGCATGCCTCCTATTTATGATGATTATATTGATGAAAGTGAGTTTGTAAGAGTGTAAACTTTAGGAAGTAATGATCCCAATATTTTGGAGGGTGTTGAATCTTATTGTTATAATTATGAAAGTGGATTTGGAGAGGTCATGACTTTATTTAGTGATGAATCCACTATTTCGGAAGAGGTTCCAATTGATTATGAGAACAAAGTTGCTATCTTGATGATTATTGTGATGACATGTATACTATAAAGAATAATTATAACCATGAAACTTATCATCATAATTTTAATTTTCAATTGGATTGTGCCTCACTTGATAGTTATTTTGTTGAGTTTGCTCCCACTACTCTGGATGAGAAGAATTTTGCTTATGTGGAGAGTAGTAAATTTTCTATGCTTGGGGATCATGAAAAAAATGCTTTATTTGATGGTTATATTGTTGAATTCATTCATGATGCTACTAAAAATTATTATGAGGGAGGAATTTATGCTTGTAGGAGTGGCAATAATGTCAATTTTCATCTCTATGTGCTTAAAGTTTTGAAGTTATGCTTGTTTTGACTTCCCATGCTAGTTGATTCTTGTTCCCATAAGTTGTTTGATCACAAAATCCCTAGGCATAGGAAGTGGGTTAGACTTAAATGTGCTAGTCATATTCTTCATGATGCTCTCTTTGTGTTTCAATTCTTATCTTTCATGTGAGCATCATTGAAATCATCATGCCTAGCTAAAAAGACATTAAAGAAAAACGCTTGTTGGGAGACAACCCAATATTTACCCCTACTGTTTTTGTGTGTTCACATGATTATGATACTTTAGTAATCATTTTTTATAGCTTTTGTTTCAATAAAGTGCCAAGTAAAGCCTTTGGGATAGTGTGGATGATAGTTGACTTGATTCTGTGCAAAAACAGAAATATTTGCGCTCAGTCCAGGAAATTTGAAGATTCACTCGAACGTGCTTTTGATCTGAATTTTTTTCACAAGATTGATATACAAATTGCCTAGATTGTCCTAATTGTTCAGAATTTTTTGAGTTATAGAAGTATGGAAAGTTTCCAAATTACTACAGACTGTTCTGTTTTTGACAGATTCTGTTTTCTATGTGTTGTTTGCTTTTTTTTGATGAATCTATGAGTAGTATCGGAGGGTATGAACCATGGAGAAGTTGGAATATAGTAGATACAACACAAATATGAATTTAGAATGAGTTCACAACAGTACCATAAAGTGGTGATTTGCTTTCTTATACCAACGGATCTTATAAGATTTTCTGTTGAGTTTTGTGTTGTGAAGTTTTCAAGTTTTGGGTAAAGATTTGATGGACTATGGAATAAGGAGTGGCGAGAGCCTAAGCTTGGGGATGGCCTAGATGGCATCCCCTCTTTCGTCTTCATTCATCGGTAACTTTGCTTGGAGCTATATTTTTATTCACCACATGATATGTGTTTTGCTTGGAGCGTCATTTTCTTTTGTTTAGATTTGCTTGCTGTTCTTTAGAATAAGTTTTAGTATCTCTTAGTTCGATAAAAAAAATCAAGTATAGCCTTTACCATGCTTATTTTACAATTCTATACGTTGTTGTTTAGAAAACAGAAAGTTTGCTGTTATGTTTTGAATATTGGTGAATAGTCAGCACATGATAAAATCTTGAAATTTTGACACAATGAGTAACAAAAAATTTTCTACAATATGTTTTTCATAATTTTCGGAGTTAGGGAAGTATGATTCCTCTTGCATTATTTACGGACTATCCTGTTTAGA